AGTCAGAATTGACTCAAAAGCACCTAACAACAGCATACCTTCAGGAATCCTTTTAGCTCATGCGTGTATTGAAGTGGACTGGCCTTCTCCTTAGGAAAGAATATGTCTGGTTTTGAAATGTTCACAATGGAATGTAAACTTTACCTTCTTTCCTTGTGATATTCAAGGCTTACAGCTCCCACTGCAGCCAACTATAGAGATTATGGAACCCAAAGCACCTGTCAGATGCCCAGCTCTTGAATGGAATGATACCTAGCCTATCTGAAGCTCATTTCAGAGCCTAATATTTGAGAGACAGAATCTAATAGATGTGCGCAGATTGTCCATTCATCTAGATTCAAGTACTATCTGCACTGTTAGACCATAACAAAACAATGTAGGTAGACCATTATGTTAGTCCCTCATAGAAGTACCTGTACTGAGTAGTTAACATTGTGTGTTCTGTCTTTACTGACGGTCAACAAAGGACTGCTGGACTGAATGGTATTCAAGAGTCTTTGGTTGTAAAACTCTGCCTGAGGAATTGAATCACTATGCTTTTCCCTTTTACAGAAAACCCAAATGACAAATTTCTACTTGAATTTGGTTCTAGGAAGAATGTGCTGTTTCTGACTTATCTTCAGAAAATGAAAACTATATAACCTGACATGTTTCCTGTCACACCAGCAGTCCTAAACCTAGAACCAAATTATACTGCCTAAGGGTTAGGGTCGCTATGAGTCGGAATCCACTCCACGGCAACAGGGTTTTTTTGTTTGTTTGTTTGTTTAAGGGTTACTTCAACATAAAGAAGACAAAAATCCTCACAACTGGACCAACAAGCAGCATCATGATAAACGGAGAAAAGATCGAGGTTGTCAAAGATTTCATTTTACTTGGATCCACAATCAACACCCATGGAAGCAGCAGTCAAGAAATCAAATGATGCATTGCATTGGGCAAGTCTGCTGCAAGAGACCTCTTTCAAGTGCTGAAAAGCAAAGATGTCACTTTAAGGACTAAGGTATGCCTGCCCCAAGCCATGGTGATTTTCACTCGCCTCATATGCATGCGAAAGCTGGACAATGAATAAGGAAGACCAAAGAAGAATTGACCCCGTTGAATTATGGTGTTGGTGAAGAATATTGCATATACCATGGACTGCCAGAAGAATGAACAAATCTGTCTAGGAAGAAGTACAGCCAGAATGCTCGTTAGAAGCAAGGATGGTGAGACTACATCTTACATACGTTGGACATGTTGTGAGGAGGGATCAGTCCCTGGAGAAGGACATCATGCTTGGTAAAGTACAGGGTCAGCAAAAAAGAGGAAGACCCTCAACGAGATGGATTAACACAGTAGCTGCAACAATGGGCTCAAGCATAACAAGGATTGTGAGGATGGCACAGGACTAGGCAGTGTTTCGTTCTGTTGTACATAGAGTCGCTATGAGTTGGAATTGACTCGACAGCACCTAACAACAACAACGACAACAAGGGTTATATCCTTGCTCAACTGGAAAGCTTAAACACATCTATTCCATTGGCTTCTTACACATCTCCTGTATTCTATTTTAAAAAGAGGCGTTCAACCATAAAAAGGAATGAAGTTCTGACATACGCTACAGCCTGGATAAACCTTGAAAACATGCTAAGTGAAAGAAGTCAGACACAAAAGGTCACATATTGCATGATTCCAATTATATGAAATATCCTGAATCGGCAGATCTATAGAGACACAAAGTAGATTAATGGTTGTCTAGGGCTTGGAAGGATTTGGGGAGTGACTGCTTAATAGGTATGGAGTTTCCTTTTGGGGTGAAGAAAATGTTCTGAAACTAGTATTCAGTGACATTATGGTCATTATGTCGTGCAACCATCACCACTGTTTCCAATTTTTTCCATCATCCTTAACAGAAGCTCCATGCCCCTTAACAATGACTCCCTCTTTCCCCTTCTCTTCCACTTCTGGTAACCACTAATAAACTTTGGTCTCTATACACTTGCCTATTGTAGATATTTCATATAAATGGAATCATACAATATTTGCCCTTTTGTGTCTGACTGATTTCACTCAGCAACATGTTTTAAAGGCTCATCCATGTCATAGCATGTATCAGAACTTTCTTTTTATGGCTGAAAAACATCCTGTTGTAAGCGTATACCACATTTTCTGTATCAATTCACCTGCTGACAGACACTTAGGTTGTTTCCATTGTATGGCTATTGTGAATAGTGCTGCAATGGACACTGGTGTACAAGTATCTGTCTGTATTCCTGTTTTCAATTCTTCTGGGTATATACCTAGGATGGGGATTGCTGGGTCATAAGGTAATTCTACGTGTACCTTTTTGAGGAAATGTCAAAGTGTTTTCCATAAAGGCTGTGCCATTGTACAATCCCACCAGCAATGAATGAGGGTTCCAATTTCTCCACATCCTTAACAACATCTTTATCTTATTTGTCTTCTTTAATCATAGCCATCCTAGTGAAGGTGAAGTGATACCTTATGGAGTTTTGATTTGCATCTCCCTAATGACTACTGGGAGTTCCTGGGTGGTGCAGTTAACACGCTTGGCTGCTAACAGAAGGCTGGAAGTTTGAGTCCACTCAGAGGTGCCTCAGAAGAAAGGCCTGGCAATCCACTTCAAAAAAACAGCCACTGAAAACCCCCATGGTGCACAGTTCTAGTCTGACAGACATGTGGTCGCCATGAGTCAGAATCACCTCAACGGTAACTGGTTTGGGATATGCTAATAATGTTGGAAGCTTCAGAGTCATGTTTTTAACTGATTCTAAGACATTTCCATGTAGTATGTACAGTTGTAGGCCCATACATTAAGACTTATTTCCCCATTGAGCTTATCTCCAACATATTCCTTCTCCTATAACTGGTATTTTGATGAACGGGAGCAACAAAAAAATCACAGGAATCATTCTCAACTCCATTCTTTTCTTCAACTGCTACCTCCACATGGCCACTTGAATCCTCCCAAATCTCTCAAGGCTGCTTCCCTCTTTCTGTGTTTACTACGATTACAAGGTTGGTCTTCCTGCCTCCAGTTCTCCCTCCCCTAATCCGTCACACACAGTGCTACAAGACTTGTCTTCCTAAAATACACAGCTAGTATGTCATTCTCCATGTAACATTCTTACTGCCTAACCAGGACTTACAAGAATCTCGACACTGGCTATTCTTCTAGCCTCACCATCTCCAATTCTCCACTCCTCCCTCTACCAGCTATGTTCCAGCCCCAACAAATCACCCAGTCATTTCCATAAGATACGATGCTCTTCCATATCCTTATACATGGTATTCTCTCCACCTGAAATGCTCCTCCCTCCCTTCTGTCTAGGAAATTGTTACCATTCTTCAAGACTCGGTGCAAATATCAACTCCTCTATGAAGCATTCTATGACTCATCAAGCTGGGTTAATTGTCCTCTCCCTCGGAACCTCACAGTACTGGGTGCACACCACTGTGCGCTTTGTCATGTTATACCACAATTACTCCATCTCTATATCCCACAAGGCTGTGCATGCCTCAAGGGCAGGAACAGGAAGGTATCATTCACCTGGCTCAGCTCACCCTGGTGCTCAGTGAATCCTTCTGGAATGAAGCCATGAACAGATAAACAAATGAAGGGTTAGTTTGTCTTTCCCATCCACCGTGGTGCCTGAGCCCTAAGTGTTCCTGGAGATGAATCTGGAAGCAGTCTTCCCCACAGTAGTCTATCAGATTACAGGGTATTACATGCTAAAGTAGCCCCTGATGCAGCACAGGACTAACTCAAAGCCAAATTCCTGAGTGTCCTCCAGGTCAAAAGGTGGCTATGGGATTTCTGCACTCTGGTAGCAAGGTTAGTATTCAAGATGCCACAACTGAGTAGGGTCCCTGCTGTGGTCAATCCACAGTGGCCAGGCCTCTACCCTCTGAAGAGCACTACCCATCCATGAGCCTATTCCCTCCCAACTGCACTCACTGAATCCATTCTCACTGAGCACCTACTGTCTATCAGACACTGTGCTAGCTAGACACAGAGGACCAAACGAGCTCACCATCTAGTTAAGGCCATAGACATTATCAGCAAATAAATAAGACAGATTTCATCCATTCAAGACATACTCATGGAGCACCTTCAATGTGCCAGCCTCCATTCTAAGTGCTGAGAGGACATCTTGAGCAAACAGACAAGAAGCCCTGTCCTCATGGAGTCTTTATTTTAGTGGAGGAGACAGTGAATAAGATGAACCAGTGAAATACATAAAATAGGAGAGAGTGACAAGTGCCCAGGAGAAAGAAGCATGGGGCAGGGGGAAGGAAGCAAGAAGGGGCATGAAAAGTTCAGACAGGGTGGCCAGGGAAGGTTTCGTAGCAATTAACTCTTAACACAGAGACATGAAAAAACAGGGCTGTGGAGACACAAAGAGGGAACAATTCCTTCAAGGGAAGCGGGAGAAGGCTTCAGAGAGGGTGTGGTTTTTGAGGTGGGGTCTGAAGGATGACCAGCGGCTTCCGGAAGGGGCAGGGAAAGAGCATTCAGGTACAGTGAGAGTAGCACGTGTGAGGGCAGAGAAGCACTGAAGGGCCTTGTTGCCGGGAAAAGGGAAGGAAGGGGCTTGGCGCAGTTTGAGGACAGTATGTCTGGGGAGAAGTGATGTGAGCTGATGCTAGAGAAGTCAGCAGGAACCAGATTGTGGGGGATTTGATGCCATACAAAGAATGGATTTTGTTCTGTGGGCAACAGGGAGCCAACAACAGTCTTAGAGCTGAGAAGTACACCGGTCAGCTTAGCTTTAAGGAAGATCGCTAGGAAGGCAGTCTGCAGGGCAGACCACAGTGGGGATGACCACACAATGGGGACCAGGTAGAAGAAGGCTGCAGCTGCAGCCTAAGGAGATGACAACTGGGCTTCTACTTCCCAGGGAACTTGCCCTTGACATCCATGAGACAGGACAGCTCACCCCGGAACCACACAGCACGCATCTCGATTCCTCACTCCCACGGCAGTGCTTACATACCTGAAACAAACAGGTGTCCGCTTCAAAATGCCAGTGAGATGACAGCTCTTTGTCAAACACACACAAAAGGTTTCACACTTGGCAGCAGAATCCACAAATTAATTTTCTTGTTCAGGACTTTAAGTGAAGAAACGCTATGATGGCTACGTGTCTAGGCTTCTGTGTCACCACTGAAATGGCTTTCTTTCTATGATGGGTTCTGCTTTATACTTGCACTAAATGTTGTGCCAATTGGTCAAAATGGTTATGTAAAACTTGGTGGAAGAAAACAAAAGTTAGTAGTCAAAGTCAAAGAGGGTATTTTATTCACCCACTCAGCTGCTACTCCCCACCCTCCAGGGTGCCGTATGAAGACAAAAGAAATAAAGCTTGCTAAGTGTTCTCCCAAACATGAAAGCAATACTGCTCATTCTAGGTGTTCTGAAAGATACTGAAGAGTGGAAGGAAGGAAAGGAGGCAGGCAGAGTCCCGCTCTCCAGATATCCTAACTACTAACCGTCAGTGTTATTTCCTTCCGAGCTCTTTTCTACAGAGACTTTTGTTGTTGGTTGTATGGAATGGTGATGATACTTTACACGCAATCTCGCCATGACACCACATTTTGAATAAGTCCCACGGATCATTTTCAGTGACAACAAGCCAAGAGTCCCAAAGGTGAAAGGGACTGTAACATTTTCTGTAATTCTAAGTTTTGATGATTCTTGCAAATATCAGCATAAAGTCTCCTGCAGACTTCTACTGATCTGTCCCAATTTGATCCTTGGGAACCAAGCGGAATCTAATCCCTCTCCACAGAAAGGCATTTCAAATATTCGGAGTAAGCTCTATCAAGGTCTCTCTTTAGTCTTATCTTCAGACTGAAGATCAACATTTGTTTCCATCATTGCTCACAGTGTAGCTGTTAGCCTGGTTCCCTTTGTCTGAACTCACTCTAGTTTCTCAATGTCCCTCTTAAAATGTGGTACCTGGATTTGAACACGACACTTCAGATGAGACAACTGTCTCATTTTATCTGGCCATTACATTATATGTGTGTTAATCCAGCCTACTGTTATATTAGCTTTTAATCAGTTGTATCCAACTGCCAGCTCATACAAAGCCTGGATTCCTGTTGAGACAGACTTCCTCCATCCTTTATGTATACAGTTGATTTTTCATAAGTAAATGTTATCTATGCTAAATTTCACATTATTAGTTTTGGTCCAACATCCTAGCCAACTGAGATCATTGCAAACTCTGGTTCTGTCATGCAGCACATTGGTAGTCTGCTGTTTTTCACATAGTGGACACACATGCCTTCTATGTGCTCACCTGCATGCATTAGAAAGGCTGGAGAGGACGGCCCCACACAGCAAGACATCAGCATCCACCCTTCCTCGTTGGCATAAAGCTTTAATACAAGATCTACAACTCCATCTAAGTGCGCTGCCACCATTGAGCCCACGTTTCTTCATCAGGGTCTGTCATATGCCTTGATCCAATCAAGACACTGCATCAGTAACACTCCCAACAGTTTATATCTGTTCTAAGTAGTTAAAGATCATCCACCTAAATGATTAATTCTGGACTTTTGGCCATTAACTGTCAAGGGTTGACATTCTGCTCACTGCTCTGTTAATTTCCAAATCTCCTTTCACATTCTGGAAAACTAGAACATTTGCACAACTCAAGTCTTATTCAGAAGTCAGAATCGACTCATATAAATAAAATGCCTCCTCTCAGGACCCTGTGGCCTGATCCACACACCAGTGCCTGATCCACACACCAGTCCCTATAAACACTGTGCTATAGGTGCTGCCCTAAGGTGGGGCAACTATAAAAGGAGCTCTCACAGCTAAAGCAATAGGAATAAGAAACAGCAATTTTCAGAAGTTGGGCACAATAATGAACATAATGAAAAAAATAGATCAAAAGATGAAAACTAAGCTAGATTAGAACTGTCCTGAAGAACTGGTGGGGTAAAAGCAATAAAGTAAAAGCTAGATTCCCCCAACAGTCTCGATGTCTCCTGTGTATAGGGTGCTGGTGGGCTACTCTTCTGTGTACCCTGGACCTATTCCCCTTTAGTCCATCCCATCAAAATACACCTGCCCCTTCAGGCCGACCTGGGCAAAGGCAACCATAGTCCTTCTGTGGCAGCCGCAGCAACTATTCACTGGGGCATCTCTTCTTTATCTCACTGTTCCATCAAGTGTAGGGTTTCTCTGAAATGCTGTGGCAAACATTCCATGACCGCAGAATGAAAATACAGAGTGGCAATAGGCCACACCATCACCATCCCAGTTGTAAACTTCTACCGTGTGCTTTGTAATTGAACACTTAGAAAGTTCTAGAGAAATGGTCCTTAACCAGGGATTTACATCAGCATCCTCCTTTGTAAAGTTTTAAAAATACAAACGTGCCTGGAGCAGGGCCCTAGAAATTCTGATTATATGAATTTATCATGAGAAAATTTTATCATGAAAAAAATAAATCAAATACTACCTCAATATTACTAACTCCTGTTATCTGGGGTATCTGTATTATTTGTTAAGCTCCATAAGTGGTTCTCGTGTGTTTTTGGTAAAGAACCACTGTTCTGCATCTGACTTCTCCAAACTTGCAAATGGCTACAATTACCAACCCTTCCCCACTATTTGGGGGACTAAAATGTCTTACTTTTTAAAATTCACTCTACTCTCTACATATATAGGTGTTAGTGTAAAATGAGTTTTGCAAAAGCCAAAAATTAAGAGTTGAGCAGCAAATCTATTCCCCATGTTAATCTGATCCACAGTAAATCTGCAAGGTAGCAGTGAAACAGTTCAGCATTATCTTTAAGATTTAGGGTCATCTTTACGTTCTTAGAGTCTACTTACCGTTTCCAAACTTCTTAAATAAAGACGATAATTTGTGATGTATACTCTTCCCTTAATGGGGCCATTGAAAGGACATATGTAAATAACTTCTTTGTCTATTAAGATAAAAAAAGTACCCTAAAATAATGGAAATATATACCAAAATACACAACAAATGGCACTAATTTAATATAAACTATTTGGCTAAAAATAACTACAATGGAAAAAAATCACTGCAAAGGTTTAAAACTAGCATCGGCAATGTTTCTGCATTACCATGCTAGGTCAAGGTGGGACGGTGGGAGAACTAGTGGGGCCACATGTCACCTCCAAGCACCAGCAGTGCTTCACTGAGCTTGCCCACAGTGCTGTGACAACAACTGGAGAGCAGAAGTGAAGGAGGGCACTGCTGCTGCTCCCCTCAGGTGGTTGTAAAGGTAACTATTTAGCTATTTCAACCAGAGAGAGGATGGCCATTCACCCAGGACAGTCTCATGGACCAGCCATCAGACTGGATGTCGAGGTTTGCCAACCTCTATCCAAACAAGCATCATGATGTTTTTAGTAAATGAATGTCAGCAGTAGAACTGTTTCTAGAGTTGGTAGAATCAAATATGAGGAGAAATTAAATCCGAAGGTTAATTTATTATAACAGAAATATATCTTTCTCTTATCTTTCAAGGATGTTCTTGAATGTGCTAATGGCTTTTAATTTTTTTTTTTTTTAATTCTGAAATCCCTTTCTCCTTGGGTGCTAAATGAAAGCTACCCAGTAAGGCTACTTCATTCTAGTTCAATGAGTTACTACCTTGATTACAGTTCTGGCACTGATACACAGCACCCGAACAACATATGTGGAGACCACCAAAAGTAAGACATGCTCTTTGCTCTTATCCAGAAACTGGCATGGCCACATCTCGCTGATTCCCTTTTGAAGATGAGGAAAATGTGTGCAAGTTTGGGGATCAGGGATAGAGTTCCTCACTGTGCCTGGCTAACTTCACAAAGGCACCAGCCATATCTACAACCTTCATCTAATCAGCACCATGTTTTAGTCGTTTCAGCTAAACAACCCAAATCTTAGTCAGTAAGCCTAGAAGTTCTCTGAAACAACAGGAATCTTATCCTGTCTAAATACATGGGGATCTGAGAGGAGGGCGTTGACCCTAACATAAAATTTGGACGTCCACAATGTCAGCGCTTGGCTCAGAAGCTGTCAGATGCTTCTGGACTCTTAAGCCAGAATGATCTGGCCCTTCCAAAGTAGATACTTTCCTTTTAATACGAATTTATCATGACAAAATAAATCAACACATCAAAATGTTACCTCAATATTGCTAACTTCTGTTATCTGGCAAATGAAAGATATTTTAAACTGATAAGGTCTCATCTATTAATGTTGCTAACTTCTGTTATCTGGCAAATGAAAGATATTTTAAAATGATAAAGTCTCATATATTTCAAAGAAGAAAAGAGGTAGGCTTTAAGTCTTTACATTTATCATTTTAAAGCATATATCATAGACTGGAAATCTTAATATCATTTTGTTCTTACAACCTTAAGCCATGAGAGTTTAGAGCTCCAATGAGACTTTCAAGAGATAATCTGCATTTTTCCCCTAAAAAACTCTGAGTCTTTGGTACAGAGAAAAAAATATCATTATCCCGGTGAGCATGACACTCTGGAAAGAACTCTTTGATCAAGAGACTACCGCCAAGAGTTCTCTCTATAGTAACACTTCTAAACAAAGCGAGCCTAGTCGTCTAAATTTGACTTGTAAAGAGTAACAGAGGTTGAAGCCACCTGACACTGCAAATCGTGACTCCCCAGGCGCCTTACCAGTGATTCGCGTTTCTCCTGGCAGGCGAGGGACCGCCTCACTGAGCTCCCGATTAATTCCATCCCGAGGAGTCTGGAAAGGAATGAGCGGCATCAGGAGTCAGGACATCACACCTGTACAGGTCTTTAAGCAACCTGAACACACTCAACTAGAAACATAGTTTGTAAAGGAAAAACATTGATATGTTTACCATTACAGAAAATTGGCACAGAGAATTCAAACAACTAAAAAAATAAAATTTAGCACCAACACTCTTTAGATGCGTTTACTTCTAATCTGCATTTAAATGTTAACAGGCTTTTCAATATTAATTTTTTTCGGCAACCCTTTCAAGCCTTTAAAAGTACTAGCTTTCAGAAAAGTGATTTAAAAAAAGTTAATATTAAATGTATTCTATAGACACATAGATACTGTGGTGAGTTTTTTTTTTTTTTTCATATTAAATATCCAGTGATCTTTTGTTAAGAGCAGAAACGAAAACTCCATTTCAATGGGGGCCTTAACTCAACAACACTACAATAACTAACTAGACTCTTCTTACAATGCCAGAAAATAACTGTTATTAACTCTTGGGTTTCTTATTTTACTAAGATCATTCTTCATGGAGGTAACCAGATAAGAGGAAAGAGTGGTTTGTCCAGAACTCTTGAGTGGTCAATAATTCCTTTAGAAACCATTTACACAAACCATCATGTTACCTTACTATTTTTGTAGGCCTCTTGGTTTTAGAGGGATTCCCAGGCATGCCTCCTTTTTTTGTCAGACAGCAAAGCATTAATCACTAAGCTCCACAGGCGATTTTGCCATAGATGTGGCTTGGGCCTTGGATGTGAGGTAAAGTGGGGAGGCGTCTTTCAAGTGAATCAGCTGCCCCCTGGGATTACTACCCAATAATGGGCTTCATAGTCAGCTTTCTGAGAGATGAGGCACATCAGAAGGATCTTTTTAGGTAAAGGGTTTTTTTTCCAGCAATACTTTTCATTTGTTTTTTTCTGGCAGTTTTCCAAAATCACACTGCAATCATTTTATTTGTGAAGTTAGGGCCTTTTTGAGAATTAAAGGAAGTAAAATATATGAGAACACTTTTGTGAATTATAAAGGGCTATGCAAATTGAAAGGGCTATGCAAAATATAAATGGGTTATGCATTTCTCTTATTAAACAAGAGAAATGCAAACTATATATTAAGGTAAGATATAACCTATTTTTATGCAAACGACGGACGTCTTCTGTGTTTGTTTGCCAACTGCACCCTCCCCTCCCAAGGTATTTTCATAAGCATGCTATGCTAATTTTTTTCAGGAACATGTAAGAAAAAAATTGGCATAGCCGCATTTATGAAAGTACCTTGTGGGGGGAGGGCGTGGTTGGCAAACAAACATAGAAGGTGCGGGTGATTTGCGTAAAAATACAGTAAGCTGTCAAAGAAAGATGTTTTGCTGGATTTTTAAGAGTTTTCTCTTTTTTATTGAAGTACAAAATTAAAATTCCTAGCCAAATTTAAACATTTTAATGGTGGTAAGCTAAGCATTTCAACTAGGAGAACAAGATGAATTGTTCCCAGCCAGAAATGCCTTCCTCAATGAGGAGTAAAGCCACACATCTTATATAAATAATAAGATTGGAAAGAAATTAATATTATCTTTTAACACTCACTAAGAATAAGTATAATGAACAAAGATTAATATTCAGTACATTTTTTAAATACCAAAGTCCTGGGTCAGGAGAAGAAAGCAAAATCCAACCACAAAATAAGGGAAGCAAATGTTTGATTAACATAGGCTACGTAGATAACATAGGATTAACATAGGATATACTTTATGATACTCGTGAGGAGTGTGCCTCTTAGCTCAAGTAGACACAAGAGACTAAACGGGCAGCTTCTGTCCGGAGGTGAGATGGGAAGGCAGAGAGGGTTAGGTGCTGGGTGAACTGACATGGGGAATGAGGGGTGTACAGGAGGAGTGTGCTGTCTCAGTATGGGGTGAGCAATTAGGGTCTCATAACAATGTATGTATAAATTTTTGTATGGGAGACTAACTTGAAATGTAAACTTCATTTAGACTGCAACAATAAAAACGACAGTGCTACTAAAAACAAAAGCATGAGCAGCAAAAAACAAACTAGATAAATATGACCTCATAAAAATTATTTTTTGTTGTTGTTCATCAAAGGACTTTATCAAAAAAGTGAAAAAGAGAACCTACATATTGGGAGAAAATGTTGGGGAACCATATACCCATTAAGGGTCTAATATCCAAAATATATAAAATACTTCTACAACTGAACAACAGAAAGACAAACAACCAATCAAAAAATGGGCAAAGGACTTGAACAGACATTTCACCAAAGAGGATGTTCAAATGGACAATGATCACATGAAAAGGCCCTCAGTTTCAACACTGTTTCCCATTCCGTTGCTGTCGAGTCGATTCCGACTCCTGTGACCCTGTGGAACAGAGTGGAGCTGCCCCGTAGGGTTTCCAAGGCTGTAATCTTTATGGAAGCAGACTGCTCCACCTTTCTCCCATGGAGCTACCAGGGGCTCCAAGCAAATACATAGAAACTAAAAATTATTAGTAGTTACCAGGGACAGAAGGGAGGAAGAGAGGAGTTTTTGCTTAGGGGGCACTGAGTTACGTTAATGGTTGTACCCGATAATTTGGAAAAGGTTAGCAATAATGGCTGTACAACTTGAAAAATATAATCAATGTCACTGAATTACACATGTATAAATTGTTGACTTGGTGTATGTTTTGCTGTGCATATCTTCACCACAATAAAATCATCATAATAATGACGTAAGGGAAAGAAAAACAAAAGCAGCAGCAGTCCTATCACCAAGCCACCTTGTGCTGCTGTTTTTTAATAGTTTGATCTGTTAGTGCTAATTAGAAAACTATCTGGGAAAGGTAACTGGGTGTGACACTGGTTAGTTGTGACTGAGTACACATCCACCTTAACTGCAGATTATAGATCAGATAAAGGAGTCCAGACTCAGCGGGAAGGAGCCAAACCACTGAAGAGTGATGTCTGCTCCAGGCTGGAGAGAGTCTACGGGTATTGAGTGTGCCAGGTATTTATCAAAATGTCAGCAGTTCGAATCTACCAGCCACTCCCTGGAGGCCCTATGGGACAGTTCTACTCTGTCCTGTGGGATCGCCGTAAGTTGGAATCGACTCGATGACAACGGGTTTGGTTTGGGGGTATAGTGGGGGATGGCACCACTGTGTAGAACTTTTCTGGCTGTGGTTTTACATTGATATTTAATATTTTATTGATTGATTGATTTCTGTCACTGGACCATTGGCTTTATCATCTCCTTGACATCACCATCTTTGTTATTTTTAATTTGATTGATGAGTGATTTTATCCGACTATGTAACTAATTATCAATCATAATAAATGTTTTAATCTAAAAAATACACAGGATATACCTTCTATTAGAGCAGCATTACATAAGGACTTATATTTACTTTCTTGAAATTACTTTTGTGCTTAGCACTGATTCTAGTACCATAAAAGATTGATTGATATGATTACATTAAAAACTTTAAACCTCTGTATTTCAAAATCTGAACAAAATACCAGAAATATAATTAAAAGGCGGACGATAAACTAGGGATAAGATTTATAACAGTCATAAAGAGTTAATTATCATAATATACAAAGAACACTTATAAATCAATAAAAGAATTCCCCTCCAAACACTCCAAAAGGCAAACAAGCAAAGGACACGAACAGTCACTTCACAAAAGAAATACAAATGGACAACACACAACCTTTTTGAAAAGGTCAACCTCGTCAGTAATTAAGGAATATAAATTCAAAGACCATTTTTCTCCCTTCTGACTGCTTGGGAGTGTCAGTGAACCCTTCTGGTGGATAATCCAGTAATATGTATCAAGGGCCTTAATGGGCAAAGAATAAAGCTTATTTTAAATTCATTCCTTCCTTTCAATATACATTCCAAAATCTCCCTCTAATTATACAACTTTCTCTTTGATACTCTGAAAACATTTCCAGTTAAAGTTGTATTTGTTTTGGGTATGTAATATTTTATAATCATCATTAGAAAATAATCCCAATGTTTAAGAATGTGTAGCAGCCTGCTCCGTGGGCCCTGGCTTTCAATAGTTTCTTCTGAAAGCTTTAGGCGTTGAGGCGGGTTGCCTAGTACCTTAAGTGGATCAAACACCCTGTGGTTGCAATGTCTGGTGTGTGTTAGTTCACAAGCTAGAGGTTCTCAAAAATCAAGTTATGTGAAAGAATTTACAAATGTAAAACTCTAAAATCTTTTCAGGAGCAAGGTGGGATAATAAATAAAACCATATGTATTAACATGTTTATATAACATGAATAAAAAATGAAACTAACCATTTAATCAACCCTAAACGGCTGCCTAATATTCAAATATGAAAAGAGAATGCAAAGAAAGATATAGACAGAAATCTGGAAACTCAACTTACCCTCTTAATAGACTCGTTCTCCAAGGAGTGGGAATTATATTTAGGAGTTGGTGCAGAAGCCATACTGGAAATTCTAATAAGAAAGACAACATTCAATAGCAAGTGAATTTGTATGCAATTTCAAACATATGCAACATCTGATATTTAAATATTTCAACTGAGAAAAACGATTGGTATTGTTGTTAGCCGCCCTAGAGTCGGCCCCCGACTCATGGTGACCCCGAGCACAACAGAACAAAACGCTACCGGGTCATGTGCCATCCCCATGATCATTGTGGACCGGATCATTGAGAACAAACAGTACCACTTCACATTTAAGGCCCCGCTTCCCTACTAGGCACCAGTGGGAATCAGACATGCAATCGACTAACCAGAGTCCGGGTGTTACGTGAAAGAACTCTGATAAAGGCACGGGGAACTCCATAGTTCCACTTCTAGGAGTTTATCCCAAACAAGTCATCAGAGAAGTGGGAAAGATTTATACAGAGTGAAGTCCATCGCAACACTGTTTACCATACTGAAAAACTGGGTCGGGGCGGGCGGGGGGCGGGGGAATCCAACGATAAGGGATTGAA